GGAGGAGGAGGAGGAGGAGGAGGAGGAGGAGGAGGAAGGCCGCCCAGACTGCTCGCGCCATGCGGTCGGAGGTCTGGAGAGGATGGGCTCGGCCAGGGCCAGCGTGTCGGCAGACAGAGGGCGCCCCCCGCACGTCGTCGACGCGCCCGCCGGGGCTCCGCAGGAGGCACCGAAAGCCAAGGCTCGGGGGCCGCGAAGGGTGCCCCTGGCCCAGGGCGCCCCCAGCTTCTTCGGCGAATCTTGAGATCCCTGGGGGCCCCCTGGGCCTCGTGAGGGGTGCTCTGGAAGCCGTGAAGACTCCTTGTGGAAGTCCCGGGGGCACCTTAGGCCAGGGTCGCTTCTGGCAGCACCCGGAAGGCGAAGCGCAAGCCCAAGGGGGACCCGAGCAGGATCCCGGGGTACACCCCGGATCAGCCTGAGGCCGCCCCGTAAGTCAACCTCGGTGGATCTAGGTCTTCCACATAGGGTCCGAGGAGATGGGGTTGGAGGACCGCGCCGCATCGCCGATGCCATCACTGATGCGGCTCGATGTGGAGCCCGCTTCTTCTCTGCGCGGACGTCGTCGATCGATCAGCCATGCGTCGCGATCCTCCGACCCCCCCGACTCGAGCCCCATTTGGGAGGCCTCTGGCAGGTCAGCCTCGGAAGAGTCGGAGGAGGCCAGGAGGCAGGTTTTCGGGAGTTTCCGAAGGCTCTCGGCGGTCTTCTAGCCACAGGACGCGTTTCAGCCGCTGCGCCTCGTCGAGGGCTTTCCGTGGGTGCCAGGGTCGTCCCGAACGGCCGCCAGAAGCCCGAGGTATGACCTGGAAACCAACAGGCGTCGAAGAGGGGGGGTGCTGTCTCGGGGGGAGACATCATGGCCGAGACCATGATGTTCCCGGAAGTCATGGCATCATCTTCTTCTTATTATTATTATTTATATGATTCGTCTCATTCTTATTATTCTTATCTTGTTACTCTTCTTATTATAGCGTTTCTTCTTTCAATGCGTCTCTTGGCCCCCCCTGGGCCGCGCTCGTGCCATGATTTGCGCCCCCTCTCTTGGACGCCCCCCTCTTGGACGCATCCGATCATAGAGGTATGTAGGACTGCGCTGACGGATGCGAGTCGGATGCTGCGTCTCGTCCAGCGCCGTTCGTGGAGGGCCCGAGGCCATCCCGCAGGCAGCCGCCTTCTCGCAGATCGCGGCCCGCGGAAAATTGCGCGGTCTTTGCATCACGACTCGTTTGTTGTTGTGTGGCGCGCAGTCTTATTTCGAAGCTCGATTCGAACGCTGATGTCGTGTTCCCTTCAATAATGCTCAGGATCCGAGACACGTGGACGTGTATCGTTTGAGTGTTTGGCTATGCCCTCAGGGTTTAGCAGCTGCTCAGCTACGTCTGAATACGTGCATCGATGATTGCAGGGATGTGTAAAGCCGCTGCTGAATGCACGTTGGGATCGGGGCAGCATGCATGTTCGAAGCTGTTCGGGGCGATGCTTCTCCTCACGTTCGTCCACAAGGTCGCCCCAGATGGTCACCCCGAAAGCAGCATGGCCATCGACTGTTCAATCGGGAAGGCATCAGGCAACGAACCCAGAGCATACAGTTCAGGAGGGGGTGCCGTTCGTGCGCCAGCGTTGGTGAGCGAACGACATGGCCGTATCCACGGCCTCGCGGCCGCGGGTTCTTGTGGCCGCGACCCCCCGCGGACACGGGGCGCTTTTGTCACGGGTGCCCCGCGTGGAGCGTGTCTGTGCGACCGCGCATCCGCGGGATGGCGCCCCGGGATCCAGACCGCGAGGGCGTGGGTATGGATGCGTCCGTCGCTCGTGCAGTGCCCGGTGCGCGGCAGGCGCCCAGGTGCTTCGCCCACTGGCAGCACCAGTTTTCGGGAGTTCGAGGCCACCACCTGGTGTGGTGACATCATTGCGAGGTGAGTGATTGTATGTATACATGTTGTTTATCTGTATGCTCACACATATAGATACATATATACACATACACATATACATACACTGCATCTTTATGTTCATACATATATATATATATATATATTCACACTGAATACCTGGCGCCCAGAGATCGGGCTGGAAAATTGTACACAACGCTGTCTTGTGGCTTTTTACCTAATTGCGAAGACTGATGGGTTTCCAGTGGGGTCAAAAGAGAGCATCATGACTCCTCAGGGGGGTCGGGGCGGGACCCGGGGCGGCTGCCGTCAAAGCCCAAATCGCCTGGGACATCCTCGCAAAATCGTTTTTGGCGCTGCTAGAATTCCATTCCCGGCGTACATTTTGGATGCCCGGAGCCAACTGTAGGCCACTTCGTGGTCTTCGAGTTCCCAGAATTCAATTCCCGGGCCACATTTTGAATGCCCGGAGCCAGCTGTAGGCCACTTCGTGCTCTTCGACTTCCCAGAACACCATTCCCGGGCCACATTTTGAATGCCCGGAGCCAACTGTAGGCCACTTCGTGCTCTTCGAGTTCCCAGAACACCATTCCCGGGCCACATTTTGAATGCCCGGAGCCAACTGTAGGCCACTTCGTGCTCTTCGAGCTCCCAGAACTCCATTCCCGGGCCACATTTTGAATGCCCGGAGCCAACTGTAGGCCACTTCGTGCTCTTCGACTTCCCAGAACACAATTCCCCGGCCACATTTTGAATGCCCGGAGCCAACTGAGGCTGAGGCTGAGGCAGGCTGAGGCTGAGGCAGGCTGAGGCTGAGGCTGAGGTTGAGGCTGAGGCTGAGGCTGAGGCAGGCTGAGGCAGACGCTGAGGCAGGCTGATGCTGAGGCAGGCTGAGGCTGAGGCTGATGCAGGCTGAGGCTGAGGCTGAGGCTAAGGTTGAGGCTGAAGGCAGACTGAGGCTGAGGCTGAAGCAGGCTGAGGCTGAGGCTGAGGCAGGCTGAGGCTGAGGCTGAGGCAAGCTGATACTGAGGCAGACTGAGGCTGAGTCTGAGGCAGGCTGAGGCTGAGGCAGGCTGAGGCTGAGGCAAGCTGAGGCAGGCTGAGGCAGGCTGAGGCTGAGGCTGAGGCTGAGGCTGAGGCTGAGGATGAGGCAGGCTGAGGCAGACGCTGAGGCAGGCTGAGGCTGAGGCTGAGGCAGGCTGTGGCTGAGGCTGAGGCTGAGGCAGGCTGAGGCTGAGGCTGAGGCAGGCTGATGCTGAGGCAGGCTGAGGCTGAGGCTGAGGCTGATGCAGGCTGAGGCTGAGGCAGGCTGAGGCTGAGGCCGAGGCTGAAGGCAGACTGAGGCAGAGGCTGAAGCAGGCTGAGGCTGAGGCTGAGGCAGGCTGAGGCTGAGGCCGAGGCAGGCTGATGCTGAGGCAGGCTGAGGCTGAGGCTGAGGCTGATGCAGGCTGAGGCTGAGGCAGGCTGAGGCTGAGGCCGAGGCTGAAGGCAGACTGAGGCTGAGGCTGAAGCAGGCTGAGGCTGAGGCTGAGGCAGGCTGAGCCTGAGGCTGAGGCAGGCTGATGCTGAGGCAGGCTGAGGCTGAGGCTGAGGCTGATGCAGGCTGAGGCTGAGGCAGGCTGAGGCTGAGGCCGAGGCTGAAGGCAGATTGAGGCTGAGGCTGAAGCAGGCTGAGGCTGAGGCTGAGGCAGGCTGAGGCCGAGGCTGAAGGCAGACTGATGTTGAGGCTGAAGCAGGCTGAGGGCGAGGCTGAGGCAGGCTGAGGCTGAGGCAGGCTGAGGCTGAGGCTGAGGCAGGCTGAGGCTGAGGCTTTGACTGCGACTGCCGTTGCCGCTGCGACTGTCATCGCGAATGCGACTACGACTGCGAGAACAGCAGAATTCGACAACTGGATTTTCATCTGAATCTTAAGGGGAATGCTTTCAGATATGCTTCTACACATCGCTGTTAGGTTGCTTTGCCGGGATAATTTACCTAACAGCGAAGACTGATAGGTTTCTAGTGGTGTCAAAAGAGAGCATCATGACTCCTCAGGGGGGTCGGGGCGGGACCCGGGGCGGCTGCCGCCGAAGCCGAAATCGCTTGGGACATCCTCGCAAAATCGCTCTTGGCGCTCCCAGAACTCCATTCCCGGGCCACATTTTGAATGCCCGGAGCCAACTGTAAGCCACTTCGTGGTCTTCGAGTCCCCAGAACTCCATTCCCGGGCCACATTTTGAATGCCCGGAGCCAACTGTAGGCCACTTCGTGCTCTTCGAGTTCCCAGAACTCCATTCCGGGGCCACATTTTGAATGCCCGGAGCCAACTGTAGGCCACTTCGTGCTCTTCGAGTTCCCAGAACTCCATTCCCGGGCCACATTTTGAATGCCCGGAGCCAACTGTAGGCCACTTCGTGCTCTTCGAGTTCCCAAAACTCCATTCCTGGGCATGATTTTGAATGCCCGGAGCCAACTGTATGCCACTTCGTGTTCTTCTAGTTCCCAGAACTCCATTCCTGGGCCACATTTTGAATGCTGAGGCAGGCTGATGCTGCGGCCGAGGCAGGCTGAGGCTGAGGCAGGCTGAGGCTGAGGCCGAGGCTGAAGGCAGACTGTGGCTGAGGCTGAAGCAGACTGTGGCTGAGGCTGAGGCAGGCTGAGGCTGAGGCTGAAGCAGGCTGATGCTGAGGCAGGCTGAGGCTGAGGCTGAGGCTGATGCAGGCTGAGGCTGAGGCAGGCTGAGGCTGAGGCCGAGGCTGAAGGCAGACTGATGCTGAGGCTGAAGCAGGCTGAGGCTGAGGCTGAGGCAGGCTGAGGCTGAGGCAGGCTGAGGCTGAGGCTGAGGCAGGCTGAGGCCGAGGCTGTGACTGCGACTGCCGTTGCCACTGCGACTGTCATCGCGAATGCGACTACGACTGCGAGAACAGCAGAATTCTACAACTGGATTCTCATCTGAATCTTAAGGGGAATGCTTCCAGATATGCTCCTACACATCGCTGTTAGGTTGCTTTGCCGGGATAATCTGCGAAGCCCCGTGAGGCACGGCCCAGATACCTCAGTGTGCATACGCGCGACTCCCATGGGGGGCCCGAAGGAATGAGAGGACCAAAGAGGCAAGCAAGCTCGCAGGCGCACAGCCTCGCTTGGCCTGCGCATGCGGTTCGGCAGGCACGGCAGCTCGCTCCGAGGCCAGCACGAGCCCGCTCGCACACGCCGCCAACCAGGTATCGAGACTTGGGCAGTGGGCTGCACCCTGCGCTGCGGTCAGCGGATTCCGGTCGCCACCCGCCTGGGTGGGGGTTGCCAAAGGTGCCTTCGGTCCAAGGTACCTCCAGCTTTTCCTCGCCCCAGCAGGAAGCCCCTGGGGCCCTTTGGGCCTCGTGAGGGGTTCTCTCGAGGCCGTGGGGGCCTCCTTGGAAATCACGGGGGCAGCTTCGGTCACGTGCACTTCTGGCAACTCCCGACCTTTGCTTCTTCTCTTCTGTTCCAGGCGGGGCTAGAGAAGGGATTCATCGACCCAGAGCGTTCCTGAACGCTCTCTCAGAGCGTTCGGGAACGCTCTAAGCAGGCCGCGGCGCCCAGTACATCCTCCAGAACCGCAGGATCTCACAGGTCCCCGATTATCCCAGTCCGATGTTGCCCCTTGTCTTGGCTTCGTTTTCCTATTGCGCTCCACTTGCTGCCCCTCCCCCTCCTCCCATCCCATCCGTCACCGTTCCTCGCCCTTGCATCCTCTCCTCGTCTTCCATGGCCCCCCTCCGAATGGTGCTACTGCTGCCGCTGCTGCTCCGTATCCTCATCCTCTCGTTTCTGACCTTGAAGGACAGGGGCCCTCAGGGAAACGGGTCCTTGACCGGGGGGGGGGGCAGGAGCAGTTCTCCACCCAGGGTAGTTCTTTGACGGCTCTCCGTGGACGGCTCAAGGATCCCGAAAGCAGCAAAAATATTGAGGGCTCGATCCTGTCATGCGAACTTTTCCCCCTCCCCTGCTTCGTCGCTCGTTGCCCTCATTTCTGCGGCTACTTGCGAAACCGACCCCTGCGCGGCCAATCGACGCTGGAGCATCGCACACCCTCGCTGAGGATTCACCTTGCTACAGGCATCCTTCAGATTCTGAACCCCATTCGGTTTTTCAGATCCTGGTGGAGCGGGTTCCGTCACGAGCGGCGTACCCGCGTCCTCGCGGTCTGGATTCCGGGGCGCGATTCCGCGGATGTGCGGTCATGCGGGTACGTTCCGCTCCGGGCGCCCGGGCAAGAGAACGCTCCGGGGCCCAGCTTCCAGGGACGTTGGTGCGTATACACGCCAATCGTTGAACGTAGGTATTTTTGGATGCCCAGTTTCCAATATACTTTCGGTGACTTCTACGTCAATGATCGAGTGGTTTCACCGTTTCCTTTCTCTTCAAGGGGCAAGGGGCGGGCGGAAGCCCAATCTACGTCCCACGCCTTCCTACTTCATGCTTCTACCCACTTGTTCCGACCGACGGGTAATCTTTTCGCCCACGAGTTCGCATGTTGCCGCCTGTTCGTCCTCGTCGTCCGTATCCTCGACCGCCTCCTCCTTTCCCCCCTCGTTCTGTCGAGGCCCGCTGCGCGTCTGTACCGTCTGGGGGGGGATGGGGAGGAGAATACGCGTCGGTCGTTGAAGGTAGATTGCGAAGGCCTTACGGCTGGTGCCGCCGACCCTGAGAACGACGAAGATGAAAACAAGGGAGGGGGCAGGGGAAGGAGGATGAGTGGGAGGTGGAGGAAGGGTGGAGGAGGTGGATGAGGGAGGAGCATGGGGGAGAAGGATGTCGACGAGAAGCAAGAAGAGGAGAAGGAGGCAGAGGAGAGCAGGAGGAGGGGGAGCAGAGGGGGGGGTGGAGGAGGAGGAGGAGGAGGAGGAGCAGGAGGAAAAGGAGGAGGCCAGAGGCTTTCTTGGTACAGCCTGGGGCTCTCTTGAGGCCGTCTTGGGCCGTCCAGGGCTCCTCTTGCGGCGTCTCGAGGCACTCTTGGAGGCCTCCTTGGCAATTTGGGGCTCTCCTGTGCTGTCTTGGGGCAGTTTGGGGGCCCCTTGGGAGCCTCGTGGGGCCTCTTGGGGCTTCTTCGGGGGCCTCTTGGGGGCATCTGAGGGCTGAGAGCTCGAAATGTCCGTTCAGGTCCCCCGTCTGGGCACTCTCCTGGAGCCGTCTTGGGGGCCTCTTGGGCCGTCTTGGAGGCGTCTTGGGCCGTCTTGGGGCCCTCTTCGGCCGTTAGTGGACCCTCTTGGGGGCCTCTTGGGCCGTCTCGGGGCGATCTTGGGGGCCTCTTGGGCCGGCTTGGCGCGTCGGGAAGCGGAAGAGGCAAGAACGCCAACACCTTCCAAAAACGTATGGGAAATCCATGAATTTTGCCTCTTGAGGCTCTCGTGGGAAAGCTCCTGGAGGCGTCTTGGGGCGCTTTGTAGGCCTCTTGGGAGGTCAAGGCGTCTTGGACAGATCGTTCGGCGATTCGGGGTTCTTTTGGACTGTCTGTGGGGCTTCTTGGGGCACTCTTGGCCCGTCTTGGGGCTTTTTGGGCTCCGGGACTCCCAGGGGGGGGGCGTCGTATCTGACCCCCCCCGCACCCCGGGACCCCCCCCTCCACCCACCCACCCGGCGAGGGAGGGATCGAAGGGAAGGGGCTCCCCTTCGACTCAAATACGACGTTGCTCAACTTTGCTTTGGCTGGCGCGCTGAGGAGGTCCCTGGGAAAGGGGGGAGCTTCGACGAGCCCAGGGAAAGGGGAGAGGCAGGGAAAGGGGACGACAGAGACAAGGGAGGAGGAGGAAAAGGAGGAGGAGGAGGAGATGAGTGAGGAGGAGTGAGGAGGAGGAG